TGGCCCCTGGTGAAGTGTGTGACTGTGAGGGTGCCTAACAATGATCTTCTCCAGCATGTCACACTTGTGGATCTTCCTGGAAATGGGGACCGTAACAAGAGCAGAGACAAGATGTGGAAAGGGGTAATTTATTCACATGTAATGCTGTTTATTGTGTCTTACTCTGTTATCTGGAAACTTAACAGTGGTTTTTACAAAGCACTGATAATTGATTATTCATTATTAACTTGTTATTTTGTCCCTTCAGGTTGTTGGAAGTTGCTCTACTGTGTGGATTGTGACTGAAATGAAACGAGCAGCAGCAGAGGATGAAGCCTGGGACATCCTGAAAAGTACCTGTAGCCTCATCGGAAATGGTGGCGAGTGTCAGCGCATCCACTTTATCTGCACCAAGTCTGATGAAATTGGAGTTTTGGATGATCGGTAAGTGATTTAAGGTGCCAAAAGTAAATAGTTTAATATAATATCCTAATTAAACATTAAAGCATATGGTGCCAAGAGCTCAACAGGAAAACATAAGCAAATGCATATAAATTGTTGCAGCACAGGTACTGGTAGCATGGGTGGGTTATGAGACAAAGGGCACCTGGGCACAGATACGCAAAGGAAACTCAATGCCCCAACACCTGTTTTACGTATGAGCAGGACAAACAGACTTTGAGGTGGTTTTGGCTTTTTGTTGATGTTGTTTATCTCCCGGTAGTCAAGGTCATTTTGTGTCATCTTGTGGTTGTTTTGTGTCTCTTTGTAGTTGTTTTGCATCCCTCTGTGGTCTGTTTGTGTGTCTTTGTGGTCAGTATGAATCTTCCTGGTCAGTACGTGTTAATTTGAGTGACATTTTGCAGGTGAAGGCCAGAGGGGCCCCTGGGCCTGTGTCTGGTAGACTGTTAGAATACTTTGTTGTTAGTTCAGGGGCAGGGGTTGTCAAAATCTGAAACTGTGCCTCCAAAACAAGTCAAATTGCAAAAACATATATATATATATATATATACATACAATACAGGGAAATTTAGACACTGCTCAATTGAATTACTTCCAGTTAATTAGTTAATTGGATTCATAGTGTAACCTAGACTGTCTTTTAGTCCGTGCATGGTAGGTCAGCTGAATATGAAAACACTTGATATTTCTCGACAGGCTGGAAGCCAGTTTAACATATATATAGAACATAAAGTTCCTAATAATAGCTTGATAAATAAAGTACTAGAAAAAAAAAGAAGAAATACTGATGGTACTATTAAGTACTATTAGTAGCAGTAGCTGAGTCATTATTATGTACTGCCTACTACAAGTATTGCAAACTTTATGCAATACATAGTACATGTACTACAGGGACTGTGCACTATGTGTGTATAATATTGTATGTATCTACAATATGTTACAATATGTATTTAACATTCATAATCCCAAAAGTAGCAGCAGTAGTATTAGTAGTAAAGGCTGTAGGATATGATAGATGGAAAACAATGATATATAATGTTAACATGTTCTTTAAAATGAAGTTTCAGCTACTGTCCTCTGAGACACACCAACATGTCTGTGAGTTTGTGTGTCAGTGGTCGTTGCTATGGTAATTAATTAGGAGGGCCAGTCAGCAGCTCAGAGCAGGCAGCTGTTTTAATGGAGTTGAAACCTCTCAAACACCTAATTTTCCTGCCAAAACCATGAGTCCAATCATCAACATATGGATACCACCAGAGAGAGGAGATCCTCCCGAACGAGCAGATGTCTTTTTTATGTTTGTGGTGTCAACAATGTGATCATGGTTGCAGGTTAGAGAATTGGTACCCCCAGCTCTTTTCAAGAAATTTCTCGTCTCAGTTTACATAGGAGTGAATGAGAAAAAAAGGCTCTCTCTTTACTTAGAGGCTCAGTGAGCCAAATGTGTAAGTGTGTGTGATTCCAAGGACACATTTTTGTGACTGTCACAAATTTTCCTACATTTTTATGTATAAATTGTGTATGCCGAGTAAAAAATTCTGGTAGTAAGAGCGAGATGTTCAGAAAATTTCAAGGAGATCTTCCAGATCCTCCACACTCTAGCGATGATGGTACCACTCCAGCTCTGTCCCATTGTCTCATGAGCCATTTAAAGTTTGAATAATTTTTCTACATGAAAGTATGGTGATTTGGTGTGGCCTCAAAGAGGAGCAATTTTAAGTTGATTTCTTGACGATCTCCAATCACTTTGAATGGAAAATTCTATGCAGTTTTTTGGCAAATTTCATAAAAAAAGGCTGGGCGAATGTTTGAGAAAAGTCATAGCACACAATTTTCCACGTTTTGATCTACTTTTTGCAAATGTATTGGCAACTCTGCGGGGCAAGTAGTTTACTTGGCTTAAAATCAGTTCTTTCAAGGAAATTCCTTTAGAAGCAACAACTACTTGTAAACTCAACACAATTTTCAGGTTTAATTTCTCCAAATACTGTATGAGGTGTCACTTCATAAAAATTTTTTTCTTACAGTTCAACAAATGCTGTTCGTGCTCGCATACTTCAAGACAACATGCAAGCCAAGGACACAGTGAACAAAGATTTCAGAAAACTCAAGGAGGTTAAGGTGAGTTGAATAGACTAACAGAAAATGTAACACAACAATTTTCTACAACTGCAAGCCTGATGTGAAATCAAACCCTTTTATCAGAAACATTTCAGTGATGAATGTTTCAAAGTCTTCACAGTGAGCTCACAAGAGTTTCTTCAGCAACAACATCTAACGCCAGAGGAAACTGGTAGGTGACGTCTCATATATGAGCACTCTGTGGATAACAGAAAATGTACAACAGCTCCAACACATGTTTTGTTTTAGTTTACTTTCACCACTTTAACTAAAACAAAAATAACTAATTGAATTTTGACATTTGAATTTAAGTATGTAGTTTAAGTATGTAAGATGTAATCTGATTTTTTTTTTCACAGAAATACCCAAACTTCAGGAATTTCTGCAAGAGCTCAATGACTGTCACTCAGAGACATTAAACTATGTGTCAGGAGCTCATGGGATCCTCTCTCTGATTCAAGGGGCCAGAAGTAGAGCAGGGGTAAGATCAAGTCAGGCTGAGTGTCCATACAGTGTTTTTTTCTGAGTGGCAGCGTCTCTATTCAGTTGTTCCCAATGAGGAGAGAACGTGAAGGTGCTGCAGCATCTTTTGCGAAGCTCTCTGACTCAGAAAGGCGCTGGTGCTGTTACTGTTGCTCCCTCTCAGGCAACCAATCATATTTTAGATGGGGCAGGACTCTTCACCTTGGTAACCAAGAAAATGGAGGAAAAGCTTGTTCTGGCCGTGTCCATCTATCCCAAGCTGAGGAGGCAGGGGCCTGTTTCATAAAGTGTACTAAGAAAAGTGAGGATTTATGTCCTGAACCTAAATGAACTAAGCATGTGAGAAAGTCAATGGTAAAGTCATTGTACATTGTGTTCTTGGGTTTCAGGCTCATTACATTGAATCATTGGGCATTCTTTGGTCAGGACATTACAGCTCAATGACACTACAACTCTCAATGGGAGTCTACCTACCAAAATGAGCCATCGTCCCTGATGCTCTCTGGAATAGTTTTATTTTTTAATTTATTTATTTCTTCATTGCTATGATTTTCAAATATATATTTATATTTTATGAGGGCCTCCATATTTGAATTTTTTAATTGTATTTAAAATGTGTTTGGTAGATAAACTACACCAATCACCAGTCATTGTTTTCCAGTCGGGTCAGTGTTACAGGAACTGTGGTTATTAATCAACAACTCAGACAGTTAGCAGGCCCTGGTCCAGGTTATTTTCCCCACATAAGTTGCCATAGTAACTGAGGCTGAACTATGTTGAATTTGATTTATGGAACTGAATAAACTGAAAATGAGTCAGACTAACCGAAACCAGCCTGGCTTATTTGATAAACTTGTTTAAATGGAATGGGCCCTTGATCAGCTGGGCACTGAATTTTGCTGGTGAGTGTTGTATTTTATCACCATACATGTTTTAAGCTTGTTGTTAGCTGTGAAGTCTGTCCACGTGCAGGGAACACTTATTTGATGAGGTGCTCCCCAGCAGCCTGCAAACACTTTTCTGACAGAGAAAAACACTTTAAGAACACAAGCCCTAATGAAACTTCTCTCATTGTCTTTGCAATTAATATGGACAGGAAATAATGTTTAAGTAAGTCAGCTTATATTAATACTTGCAAAAGACAGACTTCTGGCACGCAGATGTCAAAACACAGTTTTACAGTTCACCATACAGAAGTTTTAGTCATCAAGATTGTCGATTTACAGAATTTTTGACGTTCATAGAAGCTGCATAACAACAGTAATTAATCGAGCCCAAACTGCGCTGAATTTTTGGGGCTGATTCCTACATTGTGTTCTGTTAAAAATAAACTTTTTATATCAGTGCATACTGGACAGCATATAAGCCGATACCGATATATCTATGATAGGCTACTACTGGCAGATAAAATCATTCCGGCTCTAGTAATTAAAGGGTGGCCATTACTCTGCACAAACTGAATTTCATGAATAAATAAATAATCAATATTGTCCTCAAAGAAAACAAATCAGGTAGCAGTATAGTTTCACTGCTTTAAATACTGAATGTGTTGTATTTGATTTCAGGCTGACAGAAACACAGATGTGTGCAGAGAGCTGGAAGAAAAGATGAAGCAGGAAATTAAAAAAATAAGACAGCCCATGCAGAAGACTTATGACACCTTTGAAAGATGCCTCACTGAGGGGGTTGCAAAATCCAAAAGTTCCTGGGAAAGGCTCTTGAAGTCGGTCCTAAAGCCTGTACGTATTTGAATCCTAATCACATCAACACAACTGATTTTGGATCACATGTGAATTTATATCTTTAACATGTTTCTGTTTTATTTATTTATTTTTATTTTTTCAGAAAATGAAGGGGAGCGCTTTTCACAGGATACTGAGGTGTGTAGTTCAGAATGGCGGCACTCACCAAAGAAAGAAAAAACCCCCAATAAACCTCAATATGAAGTTAACTTCATGCCTGACTGACAGCATTGATGAGGAATTCAAGAAGACCTTCCCGTAAGAAATGACCTCATGAAGACATAAAACCCTGTGTTGGCTAATCTTTACAAGCTATGGAGAATTAATAAATTCTGCATCATACAGTTGTACAGATTATGTAATATAATGCATTAATACTAATTATAATATCAAAACACAAACTTGTCAACACTTCCTGTATGAAACATTTCAAACTGTTAACATGTTTCAGAAATGAAGCAAAACGTGGACCATTCAACGGGATCATCAACACGTTTTCACTTGAAACAGAGAGGCTGATGAGAGAGAGGCAAGAGTACAAAGATGTCGAACTGCAACTGATATTTCTCAAGACAGAGGTAAAAGTTGACGATGGTACCGTCTTATTCATCATTCCATCATTATGCTGTTTGTCCAGGTCGGGGTGATGAAAGCAGAAGGGTGAGCAAATCAACCCAAGCACCAAGTTTGTGACTGAGGACTGAAATGAAAGGCTTAATGCTGAAAAAAAAAGATATTTTGACCTGTTAACATATTCATAATTATTACATCGACAGACTTTATCAATACATTAAATGCTGATAGCAAGTGTATTTCTGTCAGTTAAAACTGACTCAGTGAAAAATTAACAGCTGCTGCAAAGCCGACAGATCCCCCCAATGTCGAAGAAGATTTTGGACCTAAGTCAACAAAAGATATGTGCACCCTCACATGGTGGAAAACGGGTCCTACTCTGAAAATCAGTTTAAATATTTTACTGCTTTTCATCAAAAAGTATAATAAACAAAATTAAATGCAACACTTCTGTTTTTGCCCCCATTTCCACAGATTTAAGTTAAAGATCTAAGACTTGTTATGCACTCAGTAGATATATCTCTCAAATTTGTTCAAATCTGACTTAATGGGCACTTCTTCTTTTCTAAGATAATGCATCCACTTGATAGGTGTGGCATAGGCATATCAAGATGCTGATTAAACAGCATCATAACTATACAGGTGCTGCAAGTTTTAATGGAGCCTGTTGTTAGCATGGTGACTGCAGGAATGTCCACAAGAACTGTTGCTGGTGAACGTGGACATAAAAGTGACCTTTTATCGTGATCATCACCATTATTACTGAAACTGAAAAGATTGCAAGAGGTTTCAGCTTGAAATGTTTAACATTTTGAACTGCTTGAAAACCTCTCGTGCTTGTGATATTTATGGTTTAAACATGGTTTTCTTAAAGACTAATGCCTCTTCTCCACCATCTGATCAATCACTGTATCAGGCTCTCTATCTTTCCCTCCAACTGGAAAACACCTCAAATCACCTCTGTTTTTAAATCTGAGGATCCAACCCTGGTTTCAAATTACTGGCCAATTTCATTTCTCCCGTATTATCAAAATTATTGGAAAAACTCCTTTACAACCAACTTAGCACTCACCTTGAAAGCAATAACTTCAGTGACTTCCAGTATGGTTTCCGCTCCACCCGATCAACTATGTCTGCACTATTGATATTTACTGAGCAAATACAAATCTCACCCAACAACCTCTAACTTGTAATATGGGAGTTCCACAAGGCAGCATCTTTGGCCCCCTACTTTTTCTCCTTTACATAAATGACCTTCCAAACGTGTGTAAATATTCTAATTGTTTTCTATATGCTGATGAAACTGTAATTATTCTCTCTGACCCAAACCCCGACATCTTAAATTCAAAGCTATCATCTGATCTGAACCACTTACATGACTGGCTGAAACATAATCATTTAACTATCACTGTCAAGAAAACAGAATGTATGTATTTTCAGTCCCCTAAATAGACAATATCTATGTCTGACCCTATTCAGTTTTCAGATCAAACACTAACCATCACAGAAACCTACAAATATCTTGGAGTATATCTTGACTCACATCTCACTTACAGTAGACACCACATTCAGAACCTAAAAAAGAAGCTCAACCAGAAACTGTACGTCTAGAACAAGATCAGACCATATCTCACCCCTGCTGTTTCAGACACATACCTAACATGCAATCATTTATGGTCCCTCACCACAAAGGAAAACATTGAACCCATAGCAACAATATACAACAAAGCTTACAAGATCCATGGTAACCTCCCTCTTTGGACTCATCAGCTCCTACACAACAACTCCAATCCCACACTTAGTGCACTACTTCCAAGTCACAGCACAAGACAGCAACACCTCACTAGATCAGTCTCACATGCACTTATTCCTATACCACCTTACAAAAACAATTACGGTCAGAGATCATTTTGTCACACTCACTCTAAGTTTTGGAACGAGATCCCACTACATCAGAGCAATACCCTCTTTTACACATTTTAAACACGCATTTCAACACCACCTGATGGAAGGACAGACCTGCAACCACTGATTTCAATCCCATATCCCATGCTACTCACTCCATTTCAGTCCACTGCTCTGCAATGTCTATGTAGCTGCCTACATTTTGTTGTTTAGCCTCTGCTAATTATTTCTGTTTGTATTTTATATTGTAATGCATTTTTGTTGCATAACAGGAACCTGCTGAAAACCAGTTTTTTACTGAGTCAGGCCAGTTTTAATTGTAACACACCATGTTACTTTTAATTCCTTTCCTGTATTAACAAATAAATGAAATGAAAGGCATGCATGTAATGATGCTGTTTAATAGTCACCATCCTGTATAATGTCTCCTGACCTACATAATGATGTGATCATTCAATGACTTGTCTTGTTTTTGCATTTTGTGTGGACCCCTGGGAGAGTAGTTGTTACTGTGGCAACAACTAACGGGGATCCTGAATAAAGAATAAAGAATCTGTATAATTCGTGGTCTCTCTAAGGAAGAAAAAATTAAGACAAAACTTGACAAAATCATCCGGGAGCAAAAGAAAATCATCTACAAGAGTCTGATGGAGACAATCGAGGAAAACATGCAAGAATGCTATAAAAGTAAGATAGTAGACCATGACATGTACAACATGACACAATATTACTACATACCTACATTTAATGTGATTGCGCTGAAAAATGTAATTGACATAATTTAACTGTTTTATTTTAGAAGCAGCAGAAATTAGAGGAGGAGGCTCGCTGAAAAACATGAGGAGCACTATTGAGAACCATGTACGAGATTCAAAGGACATCATATTTCAGAGGGCGAAAAACGTTATGTTGGAGCAGTTGGAAAACTTGATGGTTTGTCACATTTTTAAATACCTCATATAATTAATCAAACATGTGCTGTACATCTTTATCTTCCTCCACAATTGTCATCTTTTACATGAAGACTTGTTCAGTATTCAGGTTAAAAGTCTTAAAGCTGCTTTTGCTACTAAAACACTACAGGGACTTTCACAAACATTCAGCTATTGTTATTTATCTGAGACAGAAACATACCAAAGATTATGTAATTAATACAGCTGCATTTGTAATTGTATTTGCATTTGTGGTGCCTCCTGCTGGTCATTTTGAATAGAACTTTCAGGGTATGTTTCAGGTATGTACATTGACATATTCTGCAAGTTTCATGATGATCAGCCCAAGTGTTGTTGAGGTTTGGTCTATTTATGTACTGAGCTACGTCCCTTTTGAAGTTCATTGGTCAGTATCTTCTAAAACAATCAGATATCAGAAAATTTTGATAAATCTTGATAGGCTCGGTCTGATAATGATCCACAGAAAATTTGGTACAAATCAGACCCATGGTTTAGGAGGAGATGTCAGAAATGTGTTTTCCTAAAAAAAACAAAAAAAAAAATCAAACTTCTGTTGCGGTGTCCCCCTTTTGAGCAATTTCAAAATAATTTTACACACTTACTTCAACATTATTATTTAACATATCCTGCATGTTTTGTAATGATTGGACGAAAAGCCATTTTGATTTATAGCCTGATTAATGTTATGCCAAGCCCATTTTTTCTTGCATTTGTGTGCCCCCTAGTGTTTGATTTAAATGAAACTTTCAGGGTATGTTGCTGGCACCACTTTAGGCATTTCCTGCAAGTTTTGTGTTGATTGGCTCAACGGTTATGGAGTTAGGTCTATTTTTGTGCTGAGCCATTCATTGTGTCAGTATCTCAAAACACCATGAGATATCAACAAGCTTTTCAGAACTGTTGACATGCTTGGTCCAGCGATGATCCATAGAAAATTTGGTACAAACTGGACCAACGGTTTACAAGGAGATGTCAAAAAATGTGTTTTTCAAAAAAATTAAAAATGACTAAAAATCTTACCTGCTGACTCTAATAGGTTTTGAGGCTTTTTTGTAGGACACACTGAGCTGGACTTGTGAATCGCATTTCAAGCCAATCCCACTCACGATGTAGGAGTTATAACTATTAAAGTTAACCTTTAATTATAGTGCCCCCATCAGGCTGCTTGGAGTTATATTACTTAGGCAGCAATTGCACAAAACATCCAATCATTGGAGAAAATTTGCTTGGTTTACGATGCACCATCTCACAGGAATTTGCAAAAAGAAATCACAAGAAAAATAATAATAAAAATAATGATAATCGTAAACTGATACAAAAACAACAAGGTTTTAGCCCTTTGAGCTTAAACCCCTCATTAGCCAATATGCCCAGTCTGAGCTGCTCTCTGAACACACATCTAAACAGTTCATTCATGTTAGATTGAGTTCATCTTGAACACAATATTTGGCTGTGTGAGTGAAGAGTGATGAAGAATTTGTTAATTTAGGTGCTGATCCTGGGGGAACTGAACACAATGCAGGAATCAATCGAGCTGTCACTCAATACAGATGGTGACTCAATCCCAGGTAAATGGACAATGCGCTCTCATCCCAACTCGTCAAATACCGCCGTTTTGTCAGTGGATCTAAATGTCAAAATATGACGTGCTAGGTAGCATCCTGTGTTGGCTTTGGACGTTCACGGACAGCGTCTCATTTGACACTTATTACATACATTGTGTCTTTTTTAAATACATTTCCATTTTCTCAGGAAATTGTACAGCTCTGCTCATAACATGCATACAGCCTTTTTCAAAATAAACTTAAAGGGAAATTTCGGTTTATTTCAACCTTTCTCCTATCGTCCTAAATTTGTTTCAAGTGACTAGTAACATAGAAATAGCCGTTAGCCTAGATACAGCCGGGACGCACCTAGTAGCATCAGACCTGTTAAAACGTAATTGAACGGGCAACCTTCAAGTGCAAAGTTAGTCCACTAAACAAGCTTTTTTTCCACAAAGACCGCCTCATATCATTAGGATAAATGTCAGAGAACATATAGAAAACGACATGTAAACGTGTTGTCTTACCTTACCGGTGTGGTGCCATGTTAGCTCTGCTTTCCAAAGCTCAGCCGAAATATATCTTGCGAGCTCTAGATAAAGCCCAGCTGGATACTAACGTTACTCCAGGTGGAGGTGTCTCGTCCTCGGTCACATCCAGACCTTGAAAATAAGGCTGCAATCGGTCCCATTCCTTGCAACAGAGGCATTCCTCTTCTGTGGGGAAGCTCTTCTGTTTACCATCTAGCTCTGCTTTCCAAAGCGCGGCCGAAATATCGCGAGAACAAGCAACAATCTCATTGTGTGCCTGAACAAGCAGCAACAGCTGGAAGGCAGAACCGGACAGTAGCCTGAAAAGTTCATTCATTTATTTTATGAAAGATTTATAGAATAATGGCTGACTTTTTGCCAGACTTCGACTTTGTGGAGGAGGAATTTGATTTTGCAGAGTTTGATGGCCGCCCTTATTTATTTGAGTCAGAATACACTGACGAAGAGCTTCCCCACAGAAAGGAATGCCTCTGTTGCAAGGACTGGGACCAGTTGCAGCCTTATTTTCAAGGTCTGGATGTGACCGAGGACGAGACACCTCCACCTGGAGTAATGTTAGTATCCAGCTGGGCTTTATCTAGAGCTCGCGAGATATATTTCGGCCGAGCTTTGGAAAGCAGAGCTAACATGGAACCACACCGGTATATGTTCTCTGACATTTATCCTAACGATATGAGGCGGTCTTTGTGGAAAAAAAGCTTGTTTAGTGGACTAACTTTGCACTTGAATGTTGCCCGTTCACTTATGTTTTAACAGGTCTGACGCTACTATGCGCCCCGGCTGTATCTAGGCAAACGGCTAACATGCTAACTATTATTTCTATTTCACTAGTCACTTGAAACAAATTTAGGATGATAGGAGATGGGTTGAAATAAACCGAAATTTCCCTTTAATACATAGGTAAAACACCTTGCTTTTGGTTTATTTTATCAAGGTTAGGCAATAAAAGCATGTGGTTAGGTTTAGAAAAAACACCATGGTTTGTCTTAAAATAAGTATGGTATCCCAGCAACTACATTTTTAATAACTCCACTGAGTTTTGGTTTCACACGGACAGTGAACTACCAGGTGTGTGTCCGGTGTTTGTTTGTCCCATCCACCCTCCCACCTGCCCTATAGGGACTTTTTGGCTCTTTATACTGCGGCAGTTGCCAGCAGCATCAGAAATATACCGCTGCCCAGTGCGTATCATACCTCCGCAAAAGGTGCCTCTATATGTCTGTATCTGTTTCCAAAGTCACTGACAAAGTGGTGGTATTTGACGAGTTGGGAGTGAGAACAAGCCGAAATGGAACATTTAAAAATAGAAATATGTTAATCACTAAAATACTGTAAATATCTAATTGAAATGAATAAGTCACCACATTTCCAACCATTTAATAATTGACCAGTGCACTGGTGAACAATATGTTTTGTTTTGGGGGTTTTTGTAGACGTGTCAGTGGAGTTCCAGATGGTGAAGGACCACTATGATGAACTGATGAAAAGCCCAATTGAAGCACCACCACCGATGCGGTAAAACTGTTGTTAAACGTCCACATAATTCTTTGACTATGAACTGTTCTGAATAATGCTAACAATGCTTTTAATTATACTAGTGCTGATCCACCTGTCCCAGCAACCCATTCATGACGTGTGCATAGGTAAGTTTTAGTGAAACTGATGATCAAAGTCGATGATGGGAGAGATGATATGACAGCCCTGCTGTAATTCATTACTGTTCAATGTCACAACTTCACTGTTTGTTTCTCTGGTGGACGTTTCAGGTTTGCTCAGTGGAGAGAATCAGCAGATGCCTGATCACCCACTGAAGGTCCCTGTGGGCACACAGATCCCTCAGAGACATGACACCTCTGGATTTGATCTCAACCATTTTTGTCAAGTTATCGTATCCCTGTTCTTTTTGAGTTTTTAATGTACTTTGAGTTTGCTTGTTGTTGTGTATTACATGCAGAGAGACATTTTTGCTTTCAAGTGATTATAGATCAGAGGCAGACAGAAAATGTGGGGAGAAGGGTGGAGGGAGCTGGATTCAAACCAGAGATGTAAGCCCCTTTTCCACCGAGCAGTACACTACAGTTCAGTTCAGTACGTGTTTTTTATCGTTTCCACTGTGAAAAGTTGTGGATGGTACCAATGGAACCGTTCTGTACCGTCCCCATTTTTGGTCCCCCTTCTGTTGGGGTACCTAGCACACAGATCTGGAACTAAAAGGTGGAGATGTGAACACTGCAGTCTGTTGATTGGTCAATAGAGGACGGTCACTCTGTTCAGGGCTGAGTTGTGGCTGATTTTGAAGCTCATGTAACCACTGTTCATACTGTGGCAAGTTTTATTAGACTGTAACTATAAAATGAAAGGATGTTTTGCTGCCTCTTGCAGCAGCTGGAATCGGAGAAAAAAATAACTTCATTCACTAGGCCAACTACTGGCGACTTTTAAGGTGGAACATTAAAGGCCCGAAGATACTCGGGCGTACTATGAGCGGAGCGGACTCCACGAGGAATGTCTACAGTCATTCGGGCTTCCATAGTCGAGCGCACTTCCGCGTTGTAGTTTCCTGTAAAAATGTCCATGAACAATCCCCACGATGTGAAAAATACATGCCGAGCAGTCACTGGTGCATGGAGCGGAGTCCGTGCGGTCGTAAAATCTGAGCTTTGCGTGCACAGGGTTTGCGGACGTCCGCTTTGAGTCCGCGCGGACCTCCGCGGAGTCCATTCAGCGTACATTCCGCCCGAGTATGTTCGGGCCTTAACTTGTAATGTTACTCAATGCATGAGCTGACAACGTGAATCAACACACCTTAAATGTCACTGTGACAACTTTGACCATTACTTTAGTTTTTATAGGACATACACTTTTAGTAATGAGTGGATCTTCAAATGTTAATATGTATTCATTTTGGTGGGGTTATGTGACAGAATATATCCCAATCCTCACTCCGAGAAAAAAAGCGTTGTGGAGCGTTGTTCCTGTGGGCACCAGCAACACTAAACCCCTGAGCTTGCCTGAGAAGGACTAAATTCACAAACCTGCTATTTTTAAATATCCCATGGAGAGAGACTCTCACTGCAGCCTATTTTATTTTGTTCTGAAAATGTCAGCGTGCAGCCTCGTTCTGTGGACGATAAATGAGGTGCAGACATCCATCTGTGTCAATAGAGTGCTGGACATAGCAGTGAGTGACAACAACCCCATCCACATTTAAGAGTACTGTTTGCAGTGGACACTCTAGGGTCTAGGTACCATGTCTGAAGGGTTACTTTGGTTCCAAAGATACTATACTGAAAGTGTTTGGTGGAAACGGGACTATGGTGGTTTTTATGGTGTGGGTCTAACCCACCAGTGTACTATGATCTCCCAGAGACTTTTTGTTTTTCACAATTAAACATGTTTTTCTTCTTTTTGAATATGTGCATGTTTTTTCCATGTTTTTTTTAAAATTATATTTGTTTAACGTTGAATGATTTTAATGATATTTTGGGTGTCTCACTTAAACCTTGAACCTTCTTTACAATACATACTGTGAGTTAGATCTGACACAGACTTTTCAAAGAGTGATCCTGATGTTTTTCTTTCATCTTCAAGGACAAAACTGTTGCTTACTGCAAAATAATGACTTGTGTATGTCTTCATTCATATATAAGAAGTAGAGAGAACTAGTCTAGATTATAGTAATAAACTAGCGTATTTGGCTTTTTGTTATTTACTCAACAATTGCTCTGTTTTAATCTACATTGATTTTAAATGCATAAATGTGTGTAATATGGTATACTGTCCAATACACCTCAATAAAGTTCCCTTTTGTGAATGCCACATGTAGTTTGGCTTCTTTGTGGTTGATGTTGGTTTATATTAATTTTGACTGTAAGATAAACAACAGATTTTTCAACATTGTTCTTGTCTAAATCCTCTAACTGAAAACTCTAAAAGTTCTTACCTAAAGCTAAGTTTCCTGACATAAATCTACATTACAGTACCCAAGCTCTTACAGTAACAGACACCACAAATGCTATCTATCTGGTGTCCAAGTAGTTGTTGTAAATATATTGTCCTTTGGTAAATTATACCACAGTACATTAGACATTAATATAGGCTTGTTCACATAGTCTTGGTGTTTGTGAAACAGAGCATGTCAGTGTGTAAAGATTGTGTAATTCTGCACGGTCATTATCAGCATCACTTTTTGTTTCCTTCTCATCAGTCAGTGCACTCCCAGTGCTGATAAAGGATCCCTCTATGAAAAGGTGTATGCAGGGTTAACAGTGTGCTTGTTTATAGTGTTGTCTGATTTTTTTAAACATTCACATGCCATCAGGTGACAGTAATATTAATTGCTGTTCAGGTTCAAACAGGTTCAACAGAGGTGTGTTTCGTTTTTAAGATTAGTGGTAATGGCAGGTATGTGTTATGCTAATATATGTTAGCAAAGTGCCTCTGACTGATGCAACAACAACAAAAAAACAATCAAAAAGTGATTCGTCACCACTCTTAACAAACCATTTTTCACTTCTTTGGCTGATCTAGTATGCCTTGAGGTTAGCTCCTCTTTGGCACAGACGGTTGAATCCTTTCTGTGTGAGTTTGGGTGTGTGCACGGTGAGTAAGCTGCTGTTGATGCTGTGTGCCAGCAAGTTTTATGACATGTCTCACTATGCCTTTGTAACTTTGTTAGAGGTAACCGTCCCCACAATGACTGAGGCAATCAGCCTCAACCAAACTGTTATGATTTTCACCTCTCACATTAACCTGGAATAGGTGTGGTTGGGTGGGGCCCCAATGTTACCACCTTCTGGTTGTAAGACAGTTTGAACATTAGATCAAGTGTCCTATATTAATTATTTGCTACCTTAAAGCTGAAGGTTTGTGCCTTTTTAGACATTAACATTGTTATTCAAAAATGTTGCTTTTGGTCCTCATTTTGGAAAATGTCTACACAGTCCGGGTGCTGTTCATTTCCAAAGATTCTATTGTAGAGAAAGACATGTCAGTTTAGCTTCTGTCCTTATAATGATTGCTCTTAATGTCCAACCAGGCTCAGTTGGGGTGTGTTATTAATTTCTGATTAATGGTAATGGCCGGTAACAATGCATCTAAGACTATTTTTGTGAGAGTCAAAAGGACAGGTCAGCAGAAAGCTTTCTTCTTAGAGGACATCAGGTATAAATGTGAGTATGTGGATGGTTGGCTTGTGGCTGTACCAAACACTTATGAGAGATATTAGTCCTACTGTGTCGGCTTAAATCGTGAATGACAATCAGTGTTGTGTGTGATTATTGATTGTTTTATCCTGTGTAGTGTGTCAGAGCACACTTTAAAAAATGATTCATGGGGCTAGTGGATAACACTTAAAATAAAGAAGTTTTAAAAAGCATTACAAAAAATATGTTTTTTACATTAAAGTTTACAACTTGTTTTAAGAAGTTGGTCAAATCGAAAACATATTTACCATTTTTGAGTTGGGTTGAATAAAAGTAAATAAATTACAATGTCTCTTTGACCACTAAATATCACCTTAAATATCACCAACTTTTGGTTCCGCTTGTTTTTCGAGGTCAAAGCATATCACAGTGGTTGTACTAAACTAATTCAGTTTGTCAAATTATAAAGACTCATAGGATTGGCTCACTAATGACAGAGTTGGAACTACTTAAAAAAATTTGTGCAAATTGTTACCTTCATTTTTAAAAGTTGAACCAGTGGATTTTTTTTAAAGTGTAGACAACAACCGACATTGTGTCAGGGATGCCTCATGATGTCCCAACAGGAACATGAGTATGTTTCTATCGGAATGTCATGAGGCAACCACTCCCATCACAGCCATGACTTTGACCAAAAGACTTTGACTTTGCTGTTGTGGACTATTGTGAACATGGCATAACCAAAGAGGAGCGATGTAGTGGCTGCTGTGAGGTGGGATTGTGAAATGGCAACAACACCCCAGACTTTTTGATGTTTCCTCGAGGGACTACCACAACAGAGTGAAAAGGAAAATTCTGGCATGAAATAGCAAAGGCACTTCAGCAACTCAGTGGGGGAGCTTTTACTGTCAAACATTGGCAGGAACTTGACAAGAGTGCAGCAACAACGACAAGAACCCTCTCCTCCCGTCCTGTCCTTTTACAACTGGTGAAAAGTAGTACAAAACGTACATTTCCTTAAGTCCAGCACCTAAGTACAATTCTGAGATTTTATTACTACTTCCTTCTAATGTTATTTACTTTATACTTTAACTCCACTTTGTTTCAGAGGGGAATATTGTACATCTTACTCCAGCACATTTATCTGACAGCTGCAGTCACTAGTTGCTTTTCAGATGAAGAATGTATATTTAAAACAGGATGAACTCATAAAATGTGATGTTCAGGATTAAACCAGTGGTTCCCAGCCTTTACAGCATGTGTCCTCTTATTAAACAGTTCCTACCTTGTCATGTTTAGAACAAAGAGTCTAAAACTTCGAGTTGTTAGTTTAACCAAAGAGACATTTCCCATCCAAACTTCTCAGATGATCCAGTTTAAACAACAGATCAGCGCCCAGAGGAATAAACATAAACATGTGTGTATGTGCTGTGGGGGGAGGGGAACTCTGTGATGCTGACTGTGTGCAGGGCGTGTATCTATTTGCCATAAGAACTTATAACCAGAGTTGAAGGGAGGCTGTACCACTAAAAGAGTCAGTACCAGTTTGCAGTACCAGGAAGAAGCGACAGCAGCTGCCGGACTAAACCAGTTTGGTAAAGTTGGAAAGATCATCATCAAAATTGCAGAGAATTGTGAAGTCTGCATGAAGTCCCCTTGTGGGCTGGATGAATTCTAGCTTTGGACAGTCATTTTAGGCGGGATAGTCGTGTCCTCCTCCAGCCCATTCATCTTCAGTCACCCAGATGTAAGTACGCTAACCTCAATGCATTACATTCACAGCTAAATATATTACTGAGAGACTAAGTTTAACTGTTAAATACTATGTAGTAGCCTAGTGTGCTGTTTTGACATTCACTGACTATAGATTTAATATTTAACATGTAAATAAACTCCAATCCTGCATCCTCCAAAGAGTACTTCTGCCTGCTAAGTTTTTTTTTTTTTTTAATCAAGGATGTCTGGAAAGTTTGAGTCATTTCTTTCCATAATAACAAAATGAAAGTGAAAGAGAGTGGTATGGTGGTGGGGTACTAAAATTGCCCTTTGGTCAGGCTTGTCCTTGTTGACTAATTGTCTCAAACTACAAGTTACTAAAAAACCTGCTGAACTAAACATATTATGAATCCTTTTTTATTAAATCTGCTTCTGATTGTACAGTGCCATTTCAATCAGGAAAGACTGGTGTGGATGTCTGTGGAAAGTCTTTGGCGATTAGACCCCATGGAGATGGTATGAGTTAAGGAGGGTGATGAATCCACAGTTGAATAGGGAGGTGGTGAAGATAGATGAGAGGAAGATGGAGAAGTGCTGAAAATCTGGATGATATGATGGGTGGAGGTGAACGGGGTGGAGGAGGGTGTGAAGATTCTGTCTAAAATAAGGGCTGACAGCAGCAGAGGAGAGAACAGATTCAAAGGTTTGCAGTGGTTTTGCTGATAGAGATCGTGGCAAAGTTTGATTGGATAACTAGAAGAGTGAACACCCATAGTCAGCTGACAGGAGGAAGCAGTGGGAGCGGGATGGAGAGAAAAGAAATCTTCCTGATTGAACTTAAACTGAGCTTCATTTATTGTTCCTGTTGGTGTAATTTAAAGTGCTTTATCAAGATAATCCATATCAGGGCTTGATTTCTATCACAACTGTCTGCTCTCAATAGTCGTTTAAAGAGACACTGACAAAGCTTAAATGTTTGTCTAAAATGGGATTTAAAACAATGATTATTCCCACAGGAGCATGTAAACCACCAGATCTGTCAGTTTATCTGAGCAAAAGATTCAAATGGGTTTTATTGCGATAAAAAAGGTCTTAACACAAATATTCATATGCAGTATTTGTATCCTATCTCTGTATCTCTAAAAAATTAAGTTAAGCCATATGCAGCTTTCAGACAACCTGTCATTGTCTGCTACTACTTTTAACAGTGGAAATTAAGCTGCTCTGCAAGCTCTGCACAGCAAGTACAAAGAGCAAAAGAGGAAGTGCAGGTTTCCTGTGATCTGAATTTATAGAGTTGTCACTGCTCCAAGTCTCTCAATGAACTTTGCTTATACAGCTCATGATAGCTCGATTATCAGCAGTGATTTTCTAGACCTACAAAGTTTTTTGATTTGGTCTTTTTTCCTTGGTGTTAGCGCTTCTACCACAAGACAGTAAGTGACTAGTTAAATATATTTGTTGATGTTGTCTTTTTCAGTTGTGTTTTTGTTGTTATTTCCTACTTTGTTGTGCTGTAGCCCAAAGACAGTAAGACAAGGTTAATACCGTTAAACGTCCAGTTATGACTTGCACATGACTTTAAGTCATTAAAAAGACATTCGTCCTTATAACTACACTCTATCTATATTTCACATACAGTGCCTGTTAGCAGGAGAACTCACTGAGCTCTGTGCAACATGCCGTGGCTCTGTCAAAAACAGACAAGGGGCATGTTTCTTTTTCTGGGAGCTTCTGAAACACTCTGCACTGTGTCTGCTGGAATTACAACAATTGTCTTTAGTGGCAGCGATCAGCCCAGGTGGCTGGCAGAGATCTGCACTCTACTGAGTGAACTTTTCTAGTTAAGGTTGGATTTCTTTTCACATATTAACATTTACAACAAGCTAATGATGCTGTAAATAAATGTCTGTTTGAAATGTGTGGACAGGTAAGTGAAAAGCAGAGCAGACTCTAGTAGAAAGAAACGACAGATGGTCAGTTATTTGTGATGTAACTTTCCACCAAATATTTGCTGAGGACACTTTTGTCAGAATGCCATTATCAGTCTCATGACCCCTTCTTTTCCTTTAGTGAACTATAATTGATTGTAACTGTTTCCAAAATGCCAAGCAGTAATGGTTGATCAAAACATAATTTTTGTTTATTTCTCTTTACCTTACAGTTGCTGTTCTTGGTCATGGATGATTTTGTTCGGAACAAATTAACTGAATGGGATCTCAGTGAGTGGATAGAAACATTTCGAGGTAATACTGAAATGTCTTTCCATGCTTCTGTGTTGGGCACAAATATTATACAATGTTGGTATCTACTAATACAGACATAAAAAATGCTGCAACATGTTTCTGCAGCACAGTGCTGACTTATCATTGACAGACATATTTTTAAGACAAAGGGAGTGATCAGTGTTGACAAAGTAAAAACCAGTATTGTAAAGATCTTGTACATTTTATATTAAATACTACTCCTCCAATCCCAAGCTACACCCTCTTCAGCGAGCCATGGCCCCAAGGTAGAGGGCTCTGCCTGTGCTAATATTAAGGTTACAATATCGTAACCTTTGTTCGATCTCACACATGCTCTGCCCTCACTGAACTCTTTGGGTACAGAGGGTCCGCTGAATGAACGCCCTGTTGTGACATAACATCAACCCAGCTTCACTGATCTTGACCAGCTAAAGGTTAGTCACTGTAGCCTGGCTACTTGTTTATAACCTAGGCAGCCTCTTTGTCATGCAGCAGTGGTGGCAGAGGTTTCCTATTCTCTGACCACCCAGCTGACGACAGTAGCAGGTGGGTTGTCAGGAAATCCTTGAGGGGGGGCACGCTGTTTCCATGCAACCCTGCACCCTGACAAAATTCACCGAACCTGCACAGGGCTCTTTTTTTTAATGGCTGCTGTCAGGACGTCTCAACACACCGCCAGATGTCTGGAAGAGGGTGTGAGATAAAAGCTGCCTGAGCTGGGCGAGCCGGGCCATAAAATCCCACACACAGATGGCTCCCCAGCTTGGGTGGCAGTGGAGAGGGCAGCAAGAGCCCAATACTTCCTGCCACAATGGTCATCACCAGCACAGAGATGTAGGCGGCGGGGGTGAGAGCCTCAGAGTCATCAATCTCGAGCTCTGGCTCGCTCTAATCGCAGCTGTGCATCAAATGTCTGAAGTGATCCTACCACTGTTGGCACCAACTCCTGGGCAGCTCTTGGCAAGCTGTGCAGGGAGGTGGCTGCTGAACACCAATTTCTGCATGGTCTGCATCCTGATTGGCTGGCCACATTTATTCAGATTCAGTGTTTGAATGCGGGCACAGGATTGGAGGAGTAGTATTATCCATAGAGTCCAGTAGAGGGTGGAGCCTGTCTGAGAAAAACTGCTGCTCTGTAGCATGTTTTGAGTTATTGAGATGAAGATCTCAGCACAAGCAGCACTGAAACAAAGACGAAAGGGTGACATAAAATACAATCTTAAGTGCTATATCTTCAGGCTGGCACACATTACAGGATTTTTCAAACCTTCACAGATTTAGAGACCGCACACTTGATGATAACAAAAGACAGATCGCACAAGATCTCTCTCTTCTGAACTTATAGTGTGTGGTGTGCAACGGGATGAACTACGGAGCACACCACACACTAACCCATTCTTCAGCAGAGTATCAGGTTCTTGACGCTCAATATTCCAAATCTCGCGTGGTAAAACGTGACTTCAGTGTAAACAAACATGGCAGACGTTAGCTGTTAGCGATTACTTACCGGGTACATCCATTGCAGTAGCAATTTCAGTCCAACTCTTCTCTTTGTCCGTTCTGTTGTGGTACGTTTTGGATGAAACATTATATACGCATTCATGCTGTTGCCACAAGTCAACAAGTTGGTGCTCTATTTTGGAGGTCCAAGAGACTTTGCTCTTCACCGGCGCCATATCTCATGTTTGTTTTCACTTCCTTTTCCGTCAGTCAGCTGACTCAGCTCGCGTTTTGATTGGCTGTTGGTCCGGTACACGACATTACACACTGTACATGCTCGGCTCTTCTCGGAACACCCCACTCGCTACAGGATTTCTGGTCACAAATATTAAACATGTTCATTATTTACGATCTCTCCTTCCGAGGCCTTCCAAGCGGATCGGACTAGACAAAATCACTCTGAACACACCCCACACCACAGGAAAATCAGACACGATGTCATTTGAAAACATCAGACAATCGGGCCTTTGCTGGCTTTGATCGGAAGGGGGAGATCGGGACAAAATTCGGCCCAATTATCCTGTAATGTGTACCCAGCAATAGGCAACTGGACTTGATGAGTTTCATGAAGACGTTTCACCTCTCATCAAAGAGGTTTCTTCAGTTCGAACGCACTGTTGCAGAGTGGCAGGCTTAAACTCTGTGTGGGTGTGAACCCTTGCAGAGTCAACTCTGTTGGGTGAAACGTCTTCAAGAAACTCAAGAAAGTCCAGTTGCTTATGATATAGCACTTTAGATTATCATGTCTGGGTGACTGAGAATCTTCACTAGATTAAAATACAATCAATACGCATTCAGCTCAAACAACCAGGCTATCAGCACTGTGTGTCTGTAATGCTCACACTTATTTCCCTCCTTATATCATTTATTTCTGCAGAGATTTGAAATTAGTTTAAGTTTTGCATGACTATGATTCAACTAAATATTTTTTGATTTCAGATGAAGGCATTGACACTGAAAGTCTTTACTGTCTTGGCCATGAAGAAATCGCTGCCTTGATCCCAAAAGTGGGACCCAGGGCAAAATTCAAGAAGAAACTAAAGTTGTTAAAGGTAATGTTCTGCACTGTAAAGACAATTAACAAAACAATAATACACAATCTCATACAATCTCATTGATAACAATAGCATTAAAGAGAATGTAACATTTCCTAAAGGTGCTGTATGTTACTCTGGAGAAAGAGTTCATCGTTGAGTCTCATTCTCAGGTCATCAAATACTGGTGCTTTGGGTTTCGTTGTTTAGTCCAACTACCAACCTAAAGCATCTGTATTTGATGACCTGGGTATTTTATTGTAGACACAGCTTACAACTTCACACACCGTACAATGACACAGACCCTCGAAAACAGTTTACCAAACATTCTTATACCTTTCCTCAGATAAGCATCACACCTAACTTTTTGTGTGTGTATGTGTAGGTAGTTGTGATTTCCTGTTGTTTCTAGAGCTCTCTCATATTGCCCCACCACACGTTTTAACATCCTGTTGTTCAGCCCACAACATCCTTTTTCCAAATAAGCATGTTTTCCATCACAATGTTTGACAGGTAACTCTGTTCTAAGACCTCTCCCCAGAGTGAGACTGTTCAAGGTTGCCCAATTTTTTTTGTTTTGCCTCAAACTTGACCTTAAAGGTCAAGTATTGACTTTTCGCCACCACATATCCCTCCTTTTCTACCAATTAGGTAGAACATACATAAATGATGTCAAATGGCCAGATTGCTGCTGCTGTCAGATTTTATGTAATTAATCAGGGATACAAATGTGAATTAACTAAAATGAACAGTAAGTTAACAAATCATGTGTCATATGATAGAACACATGTAATGCAATACTGTGATGTGACAAGGTGTGTGCCATCTGTCAAGTCCTTGACTCCTTGGAGTCATCCCGCATAGTCCTTTCATTGAATCCACACCTGCAATGTGCTGCAACATTAGAAGCTCTCTTTTATTATTTCTCAGAGTTCATTTCACAGCTCTTAATCATCTACTTCTCCTGCGTCCAGAGGATAATCAGAATCATCCAAGTAGGCAGGGATGGGGGACCAAGCTGGATATCTCTCCCCATTCTCTGTATCCTTCTGATTGAGGTAGATTTGCGCTATTTGTCGGAGTATCATCATGTTCAACATGTGAGTCTGTTGGAGACCAGTCACAAGAGTCATCTGTTTGTCCACAGCCTTTGGCACTGCCTCCTCAGCATGGGGATGATGCAACATGCCAAAAAGGAAACTGGTATTACAGCTATCAATGCACTGATTCCTGCTTTAGTCAAAACGGCTCCCTATTTCCCTACAATTTGGTCTAACCAATCCCAAGTCCCCCTTAACAGCACCACCATCAGTTCCACCCTCAATTTTGTGAGCTTTTCCATAGCCACAGAAAATATACGTACCCTCAGGTGCAGTATTGTTAGGAATGAAGGTGCAGCAGTATTTCCCAAACATGTGACAAACTCCTCCACTGTCTGCTGTTAGCCATCCCAATACCTGTCTATTTTGTAGAGTCACTGTTGTTGTTGCATGTAATTGACTTCCAAATGCTTTAAGAATTTCAGGTGTAGCATTGGTATATCTCTGCTGATTGTAGTAAATATAGTTTATCCAATGAACATTTTTATTAATGGTAATCCAAGGAAGTATAGATTCTAGTCCAGCTCGGACCTCGTCTTGTGCTTTGAACACATCTGGAATCCCTGTGGGCAGACTTTAAGTGTATCATTTACTCTATCATAAAACATCAACACCGGTTGCTTCAATCGCACTAGTGCGGAAAGCCAAATTCATCAAAGTGGCAACACATTTCGCAAGATATTATCTCCACACATCCAATAACTGCAGTGTTTCCCATTAATTAACGAAACTATGGCGGCCCGCCATAGTTTAATTTGACCCGCCATAGTTTCTAAATAAAAGATTTAGGCTGCCAAAAGTATTGACTTCTCATGATATAAATAATATCTCGAACGCCGTAGCGTTTTGTGCCGATGTGCTCAGGCTGTCAGATCCAGCGCTCGACAGTGCGAGCGTTTCACTTGAACAAAAATACGTGTGTGCGAACTGTAAAAAATATTTAGGGGCACATGTGCGCATAAAAAAAAAATCAGCCGAAGCAGCCTATATTTTTGTCAATAAAAATATATGATAATCTAACCGCAAATGTTGGAGGAACTCCAGCCGCCTTCCCTCTTCCCCTTGTGACGAGCAGCGCAACCCCAGGCGCGCTCAGTTTGGTAGTTTGGCAGACCGAGGTGCGCTGAGATGGGTTTGGTGGCGCAGCAGGGGGAGGTGTCGACAGATCCAGCTTGGCGCAGTGACAGTTTTGTGCCAAAAGGCTTCGCCGAAGGTGCGCTAAAAGCTCGCCATCTGAAACCAGGTCTACTGTCAGCGCAGGGGGAGCGCAGCCGGTGTAAGCCGAAGTTTGGCTGACCGGCAGACAGTGCGCACACGTCACCAAAACCTCACAGGCAGGTTTCCAGAATATCAGGCACATTAACGATGCAATAAATACCCACAAAACCACTATTCAATGCAACTATCTGCAATCAGCACATAAATGTATCTCTATATCGACTGTCCCGTCACATCTGATGTCAGATCAAAGGGGATTGGCACCGTTTGGCATGTTTGGCACGCGTAATGGAAACCCAACCTGATTTGATTAAAACAGCTGCAAACTAATGACTTCACACCCCTCTAAGCCAACCACAAACAGCCATAGCATCAGATAGGGAGTATATATTCAGCATCTGTCATCTTAGAAAAGTCAAAAGAACAGAAACAGGGTGAGTCTGCGAGAGAGAAAGAGAGAGAGCGCGCGCGCACAAGAGAAATGCATCATTGATTTACAATTGTGGTGACCTCCTCCCAGGCTACCTTTGCATCATCAGCCCGTGGAGGTCTGCTCGCAGTTCCGTATATTCGGACACTGCGAGCAGACCTCCCGGACCAAAACATCAGGTTCCTCCTGGGAGAAGTTTGGCCGTCTGACGCTGCTGCTCTCTTCTGCCATGGCGAATTGAGTAAACTCTCATTACGCCTTCGTGCGGCACATTTAAGGGCGAGGAGAGGGGCTCATTTGATTGGTGTGATGTGTGTAAAACCCACTCCACGCCTTCTCTCCTCCCTCTTTCCGACTTGCGCAGGTAGGAGGGATGGAGGTGGGAAAGAGGAGTAGCCGCCCCAGCGCACACGGTGTGCCAAACTTGCAAAATCTGCCTGGCCACACCCAGTTGGCGAAGCGCAGGTGCGCTGCGCCCCCGCCTCGCCCGGTCTGCGAAACTAGAGCCCAAAGTGTGGAGAAGAGGAACCGGGAAAAGCGGCGGACCTCCGGGGAAGCCTGCTCCGTTCTCACCGCAGTTAGGGACCGTTCGCCATGGTACTGCTGCTGGGCAGGGTGGAAATAAGTCCTGTAGAGTTACAGAGGACCTGGAGAATGTTTTAGGATAGCAATAACACTATATAAGATAATCATATTACAAAGATAATATAAGATAATAACATTAAAGACAAAAGTAAATTGCGATACTTTTTCAAAACTTGATGATTTTACCTTTCTGTACATTTTGCATACAAATTCATTTCAATTTCAATTTACAATGTTCAAAATTTTCTTCCGGGGGAGGGGGGGAGATGACTGCATAGTGGTTTTTGACATATTAGCAGATCCTGGTATTACTCCATTTGTTTTATTTCCGTAGTGGCTAACGTATTAAGCGTAGTATTTTCCATAACAGTTGCGGTGACTACAAAAAATGGGAACATATGTTGAAACGTTGAACTTTGTTGGATTTAGTGTCATATTTGCCTCCATTAGTTAAGTGAAATTGGAAATGGTTATGTTTGTGTTGGCCACATCTCCATCCATAATATCTTTGTCAGTGATGTTTAGCTGTGGGTCCCCTGGGGAAAAGCTCCTGAGGATGAAACTTTCAGTATCTATCTCCCTTGGGAAATATTCCATGCACGTTGTTGGTTACTCGGGTAATTGCATCGTAGGAATAGCTTGGATTAAATCCTGTACTCAGTTCAACCGTAATCTCAAGGTGTCTCTCTGTTTTGATTGCAATGTGACATGCCTGTTTTCATTTTTGCATACTCCACAGACTATGCAATGCCTTTTTAGCACAGTTTTTAGCATATATTAAGCTAAATGGAATCCCCCCCCCCCCCCCCATAAAATTTTATTTTTTTTTTTTTTTTTTTTTTTTGCCACCACAGACACAGCAATCCACTATCTTCCTCCAGAGTGACGTACAGCAACTTTAACTGTTATTAATTTGCAACTGGGCAACACACTTGTGCAGTGGTTAGCACTGTTGCCTCACAGCAAGAGGGTTCCTTGTTCAGGAGCATGCATGTTCTTCCCATGTCAGCGTGGGTTTGCTCCGGTACTCTGGCTTCCTCCCACAGTCCAAAGACATGCAGGTTAATTGGTGACTCTAAATTGACCATAGGTGTGAATGTGAGTGTGAATGGTTGTCTGTCTCTACATGTCAGCCCTGCGATACTCTGGCGACCTGTCCAGGGTGTACCCTACCTCTTGCCCAATGTAAGCTAGGATAGACTCCAGCCACCCCGCAACCCTCAAGAGGATAAGCAGTTACGGAAAATGGATGGATGATTTGCAACTATTTTCTTTTGTTACTAGGGGGAACAAAACACAACAAACCCAGAAACAGTTGATTCTCCTGCTCAAGTAAGTTGAAAATAGTTTCACACAGTTAAGTATCATCTAAGGCACTGTTGCCCAACTATTTGACATGGTAGCCATGTTCTCAGTTGTATTGTAATGAACTAATATCATGTTCTTCAGATGTCTGTTTGAACGTTTCTATTTAATAAACTGAGGGGAAAAGATGATCAAAATAATTAAAAAAAAAAAAAACAACGTATTTTTTAATGCGATGACCAATCAAAAAGCGCTGCCTATATTCTTTGTCTCTGTGTGAAGGGGCGTACGCTTCTCTGCCTGATGGCAATATGTGAAATATGTTAGGATTTCCTGGTGGTCGTATCATTGACGCACCAAAAACAGCTGCATCTGGGGCAGACAATTTTTCAGGTGATTTTCCACCCAACTGGGCAGCTTCAGGATGGAATAAATAAATTTGGTGGGTTGACAAATGTTCGGCCTGGTTTGTCATAGTGCAGACATTTATATTATTTTCAATATTCATTTTCTTTCTAGGCTAATATTGACTAACCTGGCAACATTGCTAGCTAGAAGGCTACTTAACAAGGCTGGCTAGTAAACCACCAGAGATGTGCAAGCCCAATTCTAGCTAGTCAGACCAGCTCATAGCACAGTCAGAATAGAATACAATAAGAATAAGAATACAGTTCAGTCTGTGGTAATATCCTACATATCTGTGAATTTGGGTACATTTCATGAACCTAAAAATGACCTCCATGTTGTGTCGTGCCATGTGGCGGACTGAGCTTCAGAGAGTTGTTGGATAAGAGCAGGTAGGTGGGTGGCGGGCAGGTGTCAAATCTGAGTTCTGGAATAAAAACAAGGACACATCACCAACAGTATGATAATAACATCCAAAACACAAGCTTTAGTCTCACTTTCTATGACAGGAGAAATACTTTCAAAATACAAATGTTTAAGAAGACAAAAACGGCCAAAATATAGTGTTACCTACAGTGCCATAGCCCCACCTAGGAAAAATCACGACTGCATTTTAGACACTGAAGAGTCCTGTTTAAGCCTGTAGAGCCCTATGATATGGAAATATATTTTCTTGATCAAACACTGTTTTAAAGACACATTTACATGTTCAACCTCAGGTTCATCCATCCACCAGTGCTTCAAGTGATAAAGGTGAGATATGTTCACGTGTTTAATATTTTTATTTTTTTAAATTTGAATATCTTGCTTTGACTAAGCAACTCTACTAAACAAAAATTTAAACGCAACACTTTTTCTCCTATTTTTCATAGGTTAAAATTAACTAAGACTTTTTATGAACTCAGTAGATACATTTCTCTCAAATTCTGGTTGTAAATCAATCAAATTCCTTGTTAGTGAGCACTTCTCTTTTTCCAAGATAATCCATCCACCTGACAGGTGTGGCATATCAAGATTCTGATTTAACACCATCATTACTACACAGGTGTGCCTCAGGATGGACACAATAGAGGCTACTCTAAAATGTGCAGTTTCACAAAACACAGAATCAAAACACAGTTTCACAAAACACAAAACAACATATGTCACAAGCTTTGAGGGAGCGTGCCATTGGCATGCTGACTGCAAGAATGTCCACCAGAGCTGTTGCTCGTCAATTGAATATTCATTTAACTACCATAAGCTGTCTACAATTTTGCTTCCCTTAATTTGGCAGTACATCCAACCAGCCTCACAATGCAGACCACATGTAACCACATCAGCCCAGGACCTCTACATCCAAAGTCTTAACCTGCAGAAATCTTGTCCTGACAGCAGTATGTCATCATAACTGACTTGTGCGGTTGTTTGGTTGGTTAGATGTACTTCCAAATTTAGGGAAATGACATTGGAGACATCTTATGATACTGAAATGAACATTAAGTTCCAAGGCAACATCTCTGGTTGACATTTGTGCAGTCAGCATGCCAACAGCACAACCTTTCAAAACTTGGCAGATCTGTGGCATTATGATGTGTGATCAAACTGCACATTTTAAAGGGGCCACTTTAAAATGTAAAAGGTCTTTGATCTTAAACTCAAACTTGTGAAAAATTGGAGCTAAAACAACAAAAGTGTTACCTTTAAATTTTTGTTCAGTATATTGAGACCATGTTTCAATTTTGTGAGAGACACATGCAACAAACTTCTTTTTTTTTTTCATAACCAATAAGTGAAGAGAAAGTTGGATCTTCAGGGCGAGTCCAGCAATTGGCAATCACCAACCAGAAAACAACGATGTGAACCTAGACCGGGGTCATACTCAGGTATTTCTAATACTTTCTAAACAATGGCAGCCTACCATAGGGTTATACTTTGTATGTACCTTTATGTACTTCTATAGAAAATGTCTGTTAATATCTTGGCCTCAGTAAATACTACTGCAAGCCCTAATGTTAGTAGCTGGCGATGTAGTTTTTATATGTTGATGACGAAGGCTCCATTGTGTCATCAAGCCATTATTTTAGGCCCACCCAAAAATCCTGAACACAGAAATGGTGAAAAACTATTTACCAGTCTAACTCCACAATGCAGTACTACACAGTTCTCCGTCTTTCCCCATTTTCAACAAGTATTTTCTAAAATGTATAATGTGTTAAGAAAGAAATGATTGATTTTTCTTTACCTTGATTTTAAATTAAAAACTTAAAGCATTAAATGCAACCAGGCACTGGTGCTGAGTAAATAAGAAATGAGGCTTTAACTGGATAATGTTTTAACCCAGACAATACACTTCGAGGGATTGTTACTCATGGTGTAATATTCTTTTTCTCCTCTTTTATATAACAAAACACCTGATTATGCATTTCTGCTTACGTTATACACTGGTTCCTGCTGAATGGTTCTTTGCTTTTACTCTGACAGAAGGCTTTATACTGTCTAATGTGAAAAACATCATGGGATTTGTCCAAAACAGACTACCAGACCAAGACAACAAGCTCCATCAGTTCCTCAAGTAAGTATTGAGTTTTTGGTATTCCATATTCTTTAGTATACGGACCTGGTCTCACTCTGTTGTGTTGAGCCAGTGTGTATTTTGTTCTTAAATTAGTCTTAAGCAAGTTGGACAGACATACTGACTTATTTTAAGCCTAAAAAGCGTAACATCTGGCTCTTTAGCTGCTTAATACCTCATGTTCATAAGCTAGTTGTTATTTTGGTGTGTCTGCCAGGTACCACAGTGATTTATTGGAGTGTTTTGGCTGAAATCAGCTGCTTGCTGTGTTTGAAAGGAAGTCCGATGAGGTTTGGCCAAAAAAGTGAAGTTTTAGGATGAAAAACTGAAACCAATGAGCGAAAGACGGTATGAAGCCCTGTAAAGCTGAGGGGAACCTTAAAGTCTGATGATAACTCTGTGTGGTGTCATCTCTTGACGACCCTTCTCACATGCAAGTCGACATTCAAACTAATTAATATGAAAATATTGATTACAGCTGTTTGACTAGGCTGGTCATACTGTAGATGTTTTTCTATTGTGACATGTTCTTTCAGTGTTTGTTTATTTTCAAAATTAATCAATGAACTCATGTTCAACCTCTTGTACAACAGGAAGAAAATTAACGACTTGGAGATCGAAAAGAGGGAACTGGTCGGTGTCTTTGGTAAAACTGGGGCTGGAAAGAGCTCTCTGATAAATGCCGTCATTGGAGAGAAGAATCTCTTGCCTATTGGGAGGGTCAAAGCATGTACCACAGTCCTGATTAAAGTGGAGGCTAACATGCTACACCAAAGATATGAGGCAGAAATTGAGTTCATCACAAAAGAGGTGAAATTAGTTGAATATACTGTGTTTATGTTCACTTGAAGCAAATTAAAAAGTTATGATGTAGCTGCAAAAATATAGTTGCTGATTACATCACATGATGTTTAATTAAAATGACATAAATGAATTCATTTTTAGGAGTGGAAAGATGAATCGTGGTCCTTGTTAAATTTCCTTGGGGATAATGCCGATCAGGAAGATGAACAGGAAGATGAACAGGAAGGTGATCAAGAAGATGACGAGGATCAGGACACTGTTGACAAGCTGTCAGCGCTGTATGGAGAAGAATGGAGAGACAAAACCCCTGAAAACCTGATGGAAAACAAGTATTTCAAAGAAATTCCTGAATTTCTTCTATCCAAGAGAAAGCTTCTGACAGCTGAATCAGTGAGTAAGACAAAATAAATGTGTGTGTGTGTGTGTGTGTGTGTGTGTGTGTGTGTGAAAAGGTTTAGTTTGGAGGTACAGTAATTCAACAAATGTAAAAGTAAGAAGAGTGTGTAAAAAAAGTTAAAGGAATGGCTTGTATTTTGAAGTGCATTTGAAATCACTTTGGCTGTGATTGTGACCTTGCCATAAAAATTGGGTCACGAAGTGTGTTTTTGGATGAATTTTGATATTTTTGAATTTCATCCATATCCACTGTATTTTGACTGTGTGCTTTTTCTGTTGCCCTGGCCTTGTTAACTACAAGATTTGTACCATAGACTTCCATTATAACCACATTTTTTGACCTCCCATGTAAAACAAAGTGAAAAAAGATTCCCTGTAATTTCCCATTTCTCTGCAGCAAACTTGTTTTTGTAAAGTTTTGTAAAAATAAAGTCAATCACAAAATTGCCCCATTTTCGCATCACCCCACCCTGCCCAGCCAAATACTGACCTCTGGTGGCCATATAAGAAACTTGCATGGCTGCAGACCAGTTCAAAAAACATCTTCTTGACAACTAAAATGGTTTTGATGTGTAGTTAGTGATAAGCTCTGTCAGTCAGAATGGTTGAAATGGAAAAATATTTTCCAGGTGTGTGTCAGTGTGTAATCTACTCACAGACACTGAAATCCTTATGGGAAAATATGCAATTTTGGAAACTCATAAAAAGCCGTAAAACCAGTATTTTTTATTCCTTGGCCATGGCAGGATAAAAATTTCATCAGGTTTTGCATTCATTTTGAAGGTTAGGCCTCAAATTTTATGGTTTTACTCATATTTAGCTGATTTTTTTGTAATTTCATATAGTTTCCCACTGAGGAACAGCCATGCCTCTGTCACAAACAGTGACGCCCCCAAAAAAGGCACATTTGTTCTGATATGGATGGTAAGGACTGCTACCTGCATGTTCATGACAAACTAAGATTGTGTGTGTGTGTGTGGGTGCGTGTGTGTGTGCGGGTGCGTGTGTGTGTGTTTGTATGTAATTGGGTTGCAAATCTGTACCCCCTCCATTTTTTTTTTACACGTGCACACGTGCACATGTATGCGTACACACACACACACACACACACACACACACCACTTTCCCTTTTCAATTCAATTATTTGTTCTGTTGTTTGACATCTGTTTTGATGGATGTAATAAATGCTATTATTTTTATTACAGGGAAAATCTTTTTTCACTTTGTTTTACATGGGAGGTCAAAAATGTGGTTATAATGTAAATCTATGGTACAAATCTTGTAATTAACAAGGCCAACGTAACTTTTTGTTCAATCTCACATTATGCAAAAAGTAATAATACACCAAAATCAATCTTCTCAAATATTATCATGATGGGTAAGCCGGTGATACTGATATTAAACAAAGTCTTTTGGTTTTTTGGAATATTAACTTGACTATAGTGTATTTTTCAATAGTTAGTGGTATATGATCAAAAATGGCATCTGAAGGGTTAATTATTAATGTGATTCATTAAATCATGATATAAATCAATTAAGAACCCCTTCATGAAGAAAAAGAAAAAGTTTGGAAAAATATAGGGGGGGTTGGCATGGACGTGAAAGAGTCTTATTAATAATTCCACTAACACAAACAAAATGAGCAGATGCAATGCTGAAAAATCCCAAAATTTTGCTCGACATGTGCTGTGTTGTTATTTACGTGAACACAACACAGGCTCCACTACATTTACTGTGTGCACAGTGCCATGCTGCAGGTTCGGGCAGAGCTGCCGCTGCTGATAAAAAATCATCATCAGCGGTCATATTTCAGCAGTGACGGTGCGCTGCTGCTAGTTGCATATAGGGGAAACACTGTGGCTCAATGGATTTGTTCTGTTTTTGAATACACAATATTCTTCCAAATCTGGTTCTTCTTATACTTTTTGTTTTGTGTCATGTGCTGTCATGTTGTGTCATATGCATGCATAGTTGTGCTGTCATTTTGTCTCAACTCCTGTTTATCTGTTGTTGTTGTTGTTGCTGTTGTTGTTGTTGTTGTTGTTGTGCTGTGTTAGAAGTATTGTCATGTTTTTATTCTGTCTTGTATTGTCATGTTTTACTCTGTCATATATATTGTCATATTTTACTCTGTCATATGTATTGTCATGTTTTTGTTTTGCTTTTTGTCTGTCTGCCCAGGGACTACAGATGTGAATTAGCTGATAGCTAAATCTGGTGCAATTTTGCTGATTGTGTGATGTCCCTGTCAAATAAACAATAAACTAAAACTAAACTAAACTAAACTAAAGTTAGTGTATTTTTAATATTCAGAATTTCGCTTCGACAAGCTCTCTCTTTTTTTGACCATACACCTGTTTGGATCCCTGGGCTCTATCAAAATCTGGCTGTTAAAATTTAAAGGTTCTGCAATTGAGAAAGTTGGGGAAGGTTTTTTAGAGAGAGCAACAATTAGCATTGAAGAAATGATCAATACTGGTCAAACTTGCATACAGAACAATTAAAAAAAATTCATGTTTATTACTATTAATGTAACTAATTTAATCTTTTTTTCCTTGTTCCTTTCAATGACAGTGTTTCTCAATTGCTCTCCTTTTTATCTTATCCTCTTCTAATTCTTCTATATAATTTGTAAAGCACCTTGAAGTTTGAGTTTGTGCATACAAATGAAATCACCTTATGTTGCCTTAATCTGATTGTATTGTTGATTGCAGGCTAAAGAGCTATCTGCAAAATTAGTCAAATACACAAGGAGTGAATCAAACGATGGAGAAGGAAAAGAAGTAAAGAAGTGGTATTGGCCCCTGGTGAAGTGTGTGACTGTGAGGGTGCCTAACAATGATCTTCTCCAGCATGTCACACTTGTGGATCTTCCTGGAAATGGGGACCGTAACAAGAGCAGAGACAAGATGTGGAAAGGGGTAATTTATTCACATGTAATGCTGTTTATTGTGTCTTACTCTGTTATCTGGAAACTTAACAGTGCTTTTTACAAAGCACAGATAATTGATTATTCATTATTGACTTGTTATTTTGTCCCTTCAGGTTGTTGGAAGTTGCTCTACTGTGTGGATTGTGACTGAAATGAAACGAGCAGCAGCAGAGCGTGAAGCCTGGGACATCCTGAAAAGTGCCAGTAGCCTCATCGGAAATGGTGGCGAGTGTCAGCGCATCCACTTCATCTGCACCATGTCTGATGATATTGGAGATACGGATGATCGGTAAGTGATTTAAGGTGCCAAAAGTAAAAAGCTATATATAGGTTTGGGCTTTTTGTTGTTGTTGTTATGCATCTCCTTGTAGTCAAGGACAATTTGTATCTTGTGGTTGTTTTGTGTCTCTATGTAGTTGTTTTGCATCCCTCTGTGGTCTGGAAACTGCCTCCAAAACAAGCAAAATTGCAAAACTGCACCCCCATAACATTCCCTATGATCATATTATGTTTACATGAAAAAAGATTTTAACCAGAGCGGTCGTGTGCATGTAAACACACTTACTGAGCACAGCTGACTTCCAGGTTTTGGTAACAAAAATCATCATTGCAGGATACTCTATTGTGCTGTTTTTGTATTTTCGTGTTTTTTTTTATATTTGCAGAAAATGTAGCTTAGTGTTCTCAAATAAGAAATTAGTTTCTCCATTTCTTTGTCTTTGCAGTCTAAGAAACCAACATAACACTGTATTTTTCAAGCCCTGAAGCTTCCTAAAATTTCCAAGGAAGAAACTGATATCTAACTATAAATTATTTGGAATTTATAGAAACTATGTAATATACCATTTGGTGTGAATATAGGGAAATTGAGACACTGTTCAACTGAATCACTTCCAGTTAATTAGTCAATTGAATTCATTGTGTAACCTAGACAGTCTTTTAGTCCGTGCATGGTAGGTCAGCTGAATATGAAAACACTTGATATTTGTTTGGTGTTTTAATGGAGTTGAAACTTCTCAAACACTTCCTTTTCCCCCCAAAACCGTGAGTCCAATCATTAACGTATGGATACAAACAGAGAGAGGAGATTCTCCCAAACTTGTAGATGTCTTCTTTATGTTTGCAGTGTCAAAAATGTGATCATGGTCGCAGGTTAGAAAATTGGCACCCCCAGCTCTTTTCAAGAAATTTCTCTTCTCAGTTTACATAGTGAAGTGAATGAGAGTGAATAAGAGTGAATGAGAAAAAAAGGCTCTCTCGTTATTTGGAAGCTTAGTGAGCCAAATGTGTAAGTGTTAAGTGTGATTTCATTGTCACATTTCTGTGACCATCACAAATATCCCTACATTTTGATTTAAAAAAAATCTAAAGAAGATCTTCCAACTCCTCCACACTCTAGCGATGATGTCACCACTCTAGCTCTGTCCCATAGACACCCATTATAAAATCTGAAATGTCTGAAAAACAACATGAAATGTAAACTGCGATTTCTTAAAAACTATACCAGATTTCAAAATGCTAATTTGGTCCAATAAAGTCCAGAGTCTCATGAGCCATTTAAACTTTGAATCATTTTTCGACATACAAGTATGGCAATTTGCTGTGGCTTTTAAAGAGGAGTGATTTTAAGTTGATTTACTGACAATCTCCAATCACTTTGAATGGGAAATTCTACAAATTTTTTTGCAAATTTCATTAAAAAAAAAAAAGCTGGGCAAATCGCTGGGAGAAGTCATAGCACACAATTACCAAATTTTCCGCATGTTTTGATCTATTTTTTTGCATATGTGTTGGCAACGCTGTTGGACGAGTAGTTAACTTGGCTTAGAATGAGTTCTTTCGAGGAAATTCCTTAAGAAATCAGCTAATTGTAAACTCAACACAATTAACTAAACTAAAACAGCAGTCTCTAAACTTTGTCTTTTTCCCTAAAATTTTTACCAAAACATTTTGTAGAAAATCACAGACTTTGTTTCCTTTTCATATGAATGGTAGAGTTGTTGGTAAAAAGGTGTTTTATCCTGAGATGAGTGAAGACCACTCTCCAAGTTGGAATTTCAGGTTAAATTTCTCCAAATACTGTATGAGGTGTCACTTCAAAAAAATATTTTCTTTCAGTTCAAGAGATGCTGTTCGTGCTCTCATATTTCAAAACAACATGCAAGCCAAGGAAGAAGTGAACAAAGAGTTCAGAAAACTCAAGGAGTTTAAGGTGAGTTGAATAGACTAACAGAAAATGTAACACAACAATTTTCTACAACTGCAAGCCTGTTGTGAAATCAAACCCTTTTTTTCAGAAACATTTCAGTGATGAATGTTTCAAAGTCTTCACAGTGAGCTCCAAAGAGTTTCTGAAGCAAAAACGTCTGACGCCAGAGGAAACTGGTAGGTGACGTCTCATACTGTATATGAGCACTCTGTGGATATCAGAAAATGTGTAACAGCTCCAACACATGTTTTGTTTTAAGTTTACTTTCACCACTTTAACTAAAACAAAAATAACTAATTGAATTTTGACATTTGAATTTAAGTATGTAAGATGTAATCTGATTTTTTTTTCACAGAAATACCCAAACTTCAGGAATTTCTGCAAGAGCTCAATGACTGTCACTCAGAGACATTAAACTATGTGTCAGGAGCTCATGGGATCCTCTCTCTGATTCAAGGGGCCAGAAGTAGAGCAGGGGTAAGATCAAGTCAGGCTGAATGTCCATACAGTGTTTTTTTTCTGAGTGGCAGCGTCTCTATTCAGTTGTTCCCAATGAGGAGAGAAAGTAAAGGTGCTGTACCCAGCATCCTTTGCGGAGCTCTCTGACTTTTTTGTGCGGCCAATCCAAGCGCCTCTACTTAAAACATCTCTGAACATTTCAGAAAGGCGCTGGTGCCGTGGTACTGTCGCTCCCTGTCAGGCAACCAATCATATTTTAGATGGGGCAGGACTCTTCACCTTGGTAACCAAGAAAATGGTGGAGAAGCTTGTTCTGGCCGTGTCCATCTATCCCGAGAAACAATCACAACAAAGACAGTACAGAATTTGTGGAGGCAGGGGCCTGTTTCATAAAGTGTACTACAAAAAGTGAGGATTTGTCCTGAACCTGAATGAACTAAGCCTGTGAGAAAGTCCATTGTAAAGTCATCATACATTGTGTTCTTGGTTTTCAGGCTCATTACAATGAATCACTGGGCATTCTTTGGTCAGGAAATTACAGCTCAAAGACACTACAACTCTCACTGGGAGTCTACCTACCAAAATGAGCTATCGTCCCTGATGCTCTCTGGAATGGTTTTATTTTTCAATATATTTATTACTTCATTGTGATAATTATGAGATATATATATTTGTATTTCATTAGGCCTCCATATTTAAAATGATTAATTTTATTAAAAATGTGTTAGATAAACTACACCAATTACCAGTCATTGTTTTCCAGTCGGGTCAGTGTTACAGGAACTGTGGTTATTAATCAACAGCTCAGGCTTAGCCTGACAGTTAGCAGGCCCTGGTCCAGGTTATTTTCCTTGCACAAGTTGTCATAGTAACTAAGCTTGAACTACACTGCCTGGCCAAAAAAAAAGTCACCACCAAAAAAAAAGGTCATACACCCTAATATTTCGTTGGACCGCCTTTAGCTTTGATTACAGCACGCATTCGCTGTGGCATTGTTTCGATAAGCTTCTGCAATGTCACAAGATTTATTTCCATCCAGTGTTGCATTAATTTTTCACCAAGATCTTGCATTGATGATGGTAGAGTCTGACC